CATCTCACGATTTCCGAATAATAATAGACTTTCGGTCACTAATCACCACACAATAATAGAAATAGACGTACATTGACCTATAACTACCGACAGTATTATACTAGCGGATTCTTCACACTCATGGACCCAAAAAGCTGCTGGCTTCATTTGGCTCATAGACCGTTCGTTAAAACTCACATTAACACCGCTTACTATAAAAAAATTACAAACTATTAAAACATGAGCAAAAAAAAAAGATATCAAGAAATATATATTTTAAAAATATTGAACAACACATTCACTCCACCATTTATCATTACCCTTAATAAGTAAAGTCCCGCATTATTAGGCCTGATAAAGAAATTTAAATAGACGAACCCTTAAGACACTTAGGTCCTTAGACTTATGGCTGCAACGTGGTCAACGTATCGCACCGTCGATCTCACACTGCTTGATTCACACAGAACACAGAACACGAAAACTCAGTTTCTATATTTAGTTTCCTTTCTATTCACGCGGAGACCACCTCTACCTATGATCGACAATCGCGTACTGATCACTCGCCATCTTTTTTCGCATCTCGAATCCGGAACCTACTGGCGTCGAACTCAGTGTCGTTCGAGTCAGGATCTTTAAGGCCGCGAAATGCTTCTTGCGCTTCTCGCCTCGATTCGATCCGTCTCTATTCTAGATTTTAATAAATTTTTTCCCGAAGAAAAACATGTAATAAATTACAGGGGCTGATCTTATTTCCCCCATTAACATATTATTTTTTGAATAATGAATTTTTATTTATTTTAGCACTGTAACAATCCTGCCAATTATATTTCATAGCGAGTTTGGACAAATATCATTCTAAAAAAAGAATTTACTTTAACTTTTAAAACATTAAACGTATTTTAAGTTAAAGAGATCTAGTAACTAAATTATTCGGAGTACAAATCCATTAAATTTTCGTTTGTTAAGGGAACAACACCCAAATATCGATTTCTATGATGAGAACGTTAACCTTTCCAAGTTAGCTGTATTAACATCATTTCAAGTAATATCTAGTTACCAAAGTAAAAGTGAAAAGTAAGCCCCGATACTTGTTCAATCATGTCCCGAGACGCTGTTTTCGACTCAGCTTATCGATTAGGCACACATAAAACGCAAGGACAAGTGGATGTTAAAAGAAACTCGTAATGTTAACATCAATAAATAATTTCAATTAATTATTATTTTTGTTTTATCTTGGTTATTAATAAGTAATATGAGAAAACAAATTACCTTTTGACCTTTACGTTTAATTTTGTTTTTCCTATAGCGTTCCTATTTTTAAATTATTTTATCTCACTATGTACCAGATATGACGGCAGAATGAAAAAATATATCGTTTTGTATGGTCTTCCATTGTGAACCGATCCGTTCGTAGCTCGGCGTAAGAATAAGTCCACATCTGGTGGAGTTATTAAGCCGTTCCCCTTTCACATGCTCATTGTAAAAACGAACAAAAACTCAAGTCGGATGAACGCCCCGCGGCAGTAAGAAAGCCGTATACAGTAAAGAACAGATAAACCCGACATTCTCAACCCTTTATTGCAATATAGGCAGGACAATATAAGTCGGCCTGGGACTTGTAAATGTGTTGGGCGTAAAACAACCACGCGCTTCCTTGTTTAGGACACCATTTAAAAAAAAATTCTGTTTCCTAGAAATGACAACAACATTTATCCATTAGTTTATCTAAATATTTGTCTTTTAGTGGAAAGAGTTTTTATTGTGAATTTATGCAAAAAAATGTTAACATCTTTGATTGACTGAGATAGAGTCACGTTTCGTAATTTGATTTAATTATCCATAAATTTTGCTGTTTGTTCAGATCACTTGTTAAATTCTAAACAACAAGAACACCTTCTCATCGTGAAAGCCCTTGGTGGTGCCCCCTATGTGGAGAAATAGTCATCAGCATCCGACTGTGAACAAGTGCAAGAATACTGAAAAAAGTTTTACATATCCACCGACGAAAGAAAAATGTTAAAGAATAAAAACATAACAGTAATTGGACCGATAGATTATTTGTATACCTACCTAAAGTAGGTTCAAATTTATCATCGCCTCTCTTCATCTGTGCTTATCCCTTATTAAGTGAATCTATTTATGAGCTTGAATGTTTTTAAAAATGGTGGGTCGTTGGAGACCGAACATAGAGTACCCCACAGGCACACCAATATTGATTTGTTGTTTATAAAGTGAATGGTGACCAGGGCACCGCGTAATATCAAATACCACGATGGCTCGCCATTGATTTTAACTGTCAATATTGTTAGTTCAATTAATTAAGGTTTTTAGTTGAGAGAAAAAATTCAGGGTCACGAGCGGCATGCGAACCCACGACCTTCGACTTGATACGCTGCTACTGTACCACTTGAGCTATCGTGACTTCCATCCACTCAGGCACTTACTTCCCATCTTAACCCCACCTTTTGAATTTTCCCTCTTGTTGCTATTGTTCAAATCCCGCTTTCGAAAAATCCCGCTCATAATACTGACTTATTTACCTCAACTAAAAACCTTAATTAATTGAATGATATTAATTGGTCAAGCGGACCACGAAAACTAGTGAATTTAAATTGTTCGAAAGGTTGCGTTTTTGTACGAATGTATTTGTTAATGTGAGTGTTTGAGTATGGGGGCTGGTTTTGGGGCAGGATATAGAGTACCTCTCGAGCTACAAATCCAGCTACATATTGCGTGTGTATAGAGTGATTAGGGACGAGACAATTCTTTTTAAATATCTATACTGTGTGAAAGGTTGGGTTATTTTCGTAATGATTACTACATTAAATGAAAGTGGTAAGTCTCAGTGGAATAATGATTACTCAGAGTATCACCAGATTAGAACAGGTTATATATTTGTTTACATGTGTATGTTTTTAAGGTGTTGTATATTGTAAAAAAAATGTTCGCCTATTGAGCGCCGATTGAATGCAGACAAAACACAAGGTGGCAAAAAACGAGAGCATCCTGCAATGAGCAGGGGGGAAAATATAAATTTCGGAAAGTTATATCCTTTCGTCAAAATTGATGAGACTTACGGTGTTATCAATTAATTTGATAATTGGTTCAATTAATCATGCCAAAAGTGGAAAATCAGTTTCGAAATGGGAAAAAATTAAACTTGGAATTCGACTATTTTCAGTATCAATTTGTTCTATACACTGGATTCAAAAGAATGATCATCGTGACCACAGAACTGTTCAAAATTCCTTACTGAATTTATGGCGTATTGCCTATAAATCTTGGAAACCGGCCACTAGGCTCCATCTAAAGCTAATAATGCAGTATTTTTTTATCTCAGCTATTGTTTATTTTCTACCGGATCTCTCTATATATGCTATCTGGCCTTTTGGAAGTGCTCTATATATTAGCAATAATGTTCGACCAGACTATTATATCGGGAAGATAAGAGGCTTTTTATTTATTCTTTTATACGATCGAGTGACCTTTGAAAATCTTTTGTCTACGATCCTCGCAAGGAAAATAATTAATTAAGAAAGATATAACTTTTTCTATGCATAATTCTACCTTTAAAAGTTGATACAATCTCCAAGTAAATTGGTTATATTTGCCAATAAAATATACATGCAAATATATAATGTGAATCATGGGCATATCATCGAGTCAATAAACATTGTTGTACATATTTCCGCAGTTCTGGCCCTTTTACCATTGTACATCCAATTATGCGATGGGTCAAGACAAATAAAACATTAATAATGGAAATGAACAAAATTTTCAAATTTTGGGAAAATTTATTGATAAGCATGAGAGAAAAGATTTATATCAGGGTAAATATTTATAAAGAAAATACTTGAAATATGTTCACTACAACTGGATAGACGAGTAAATGTTAACAATATACAGTATTTTCATTTTAGTTTCTGTAACACACAAATCACTGCGGACAGTATTAACAAAGAACACGTTATCAATTACTGTGTTTTGTTAGATAAAATTTATAGTTATTCAGATATCGTGAGATGCGGTCGGGTGTGATGTAGGTTTCAGAAAAATATTTTCTCTGCCGTGCCAAAGTTTTGATCTTTTATTGAGATCATCTTCAGGGCCTGGGATTTACAAACAATGTTTACATTTAACAAATACATTTAGGATGTGGAAAAGTGAATTTATACAATTTATATACCGACTTCCACCCTTTCAAAACCAAACATATATAAACATAAAACAGCAAAATCTCACTGGCACTCTCAACACGACACGCAAGGATGGCACAATTACACAGAAGAGAAACACTTTGAGTGAGTAGAAATACTTTGTTTGAATATAAAATATATTTTGCATTGTATAAATTCACTTTTCCTCATCCTAAATGAATTTGTTAAATTTAAACATTGTTTGTAAATCCGAGGACCTGAAGATGATCTCAATAAAGATCGAAACGTTGGCACGATAAAGAAAATGTTTTTCTGAAACCTACATCACACCCGACGCATTTCACGATATCTGAATAACTATCGATTAACGGTCACTAATATCTGCACAGATAAAATTAATTTTTAACCCTCAGCTTGATTTTTATATAACTCCTTTTTTAAACAAATCGTGCTACAAGTATCTTAAGTGATGCAATGTTCGTTACAATATATGTAGTATTTCATGTCGAGAAACGTATTCTGCACGGCCTGCATCATGTTCTAACATATAATAATCCTGCAAAGCTTACACACTTGAAATCCTATTTTCAATGGTTTTGTAAATTAGTTAATTTACATCTACAATTGTAAATGTATTAAACAAAACCCTTAGATTAGATTGCGTTTTGAACTGTGACATTTGGAACAATAATTTTAAATTTTAAAAGTAAGAATATTTCAGTCAATTGTCACCAGCTTTCCTTCAATCAAAGTTAGCAGAGCGAATTCCAGCTAATTTTCTTGATGTAATGTATGTTAAATTCATTAAATTTGTTCGGTGCAATGATAAAAATATAGAAATATTACCAGATGTTTCAACAAATTTAAAATGTAGATGTAGAGTGTTTAGAGTAAATTTACATTAAATAGAAAAAATTCTTTTATAAATTTTTAATTTAACATAATTCATGTGGAATGTTATCACGGTTCTTCTAGGCGTTTTTGATCATGGATTTGGAGACGATGACAAAATTTGGGGAGGCAGAAATGCAAAGCACGGCGAATTCCCTTTTGCTGTTTTCATCACAGGAAACCTTTTTTGTGGTGGTGGTCTTTTGACACTGGATAAAATTGTTAGCGCCGGTCATTGTTTCGTGCAATGGGACGAAAAGGGAAAAAAAGTGGAACTGGATTTGAAACGGACGATAGTTATTGGGGGCATGGTGAATTACTTAAAACGCAATTTGGCCTACCAACAAACAACAATTCGCTTATTTAAAATGCACGATAACTACAGAAAGAGAAAAGACGGGTCCTATTATCACGATGTCGCTGTGGCGAAGTTAAACGAATCTTTTCTCGAGACCCTCACGCTCAAACGAATGCCGATCCCGCAAGGAGGGAAATCCGAATTCAAACGACATTGGGATCGGTTGGTGGCATCGGGAAACAAATGTTACGCGATGGGCTGGGGCACAACCGCCAAGGGCGGAACAGAACCGTCGCCGAGCATGATGGTCATACAAGTCGCGTTGTGGAGCGAACAGAAATGCAAAGAAACGGCTTGGGACCCAGAAGATTCGGTGACGAAATTCGGCGAAGTGTGTGCTTCATCCGTAGAAACAGGGGAGACTTTCTGCGACGGAGACTCCGGAAGTCCGCTCTATTGCGACGGGTACGTCTACGGCCTGGCGACGGCAAACTGGGAATGTGGAAATACCGTTTTACCACAGTATTTTCTCCTTTTCTGGCACTATCTTGACTTGATGGCAGTCAATTTAGATAACAGTGCAATTGATATACATTTTGAAGTCCGTCTCATACTTATCCCCGTTGTCGTTTTCTTTACACAAAAAGAACATAAAAGATTCAAAATTTTCGTAAATTGAAACATAAAAAAATTTAACATATGTGGTATAATACATTTTTACAACTGAACTTTAAATTAGTAATCCCAATATTTAGCTCCATATTAAGCTTATCCTGAACGATTATTTGGGGGTCGTGAGATGCAGTCTGGTGTGATGTAGGTTTTAGAAACACAGTTTCCTTATCGTGCCAACGTTTCGATCATTATTGAGATCATCTACAGGGCTCAAAGTGTTTGTTTTCCGAGATGTGTCATTCTTGAGCCCTCTCAATAAAGATCGAAACGTTGGCACGATAAAGAAACTGTTTTTCTAAAACCTACATCACGCCAGATCGCATCTCACGACCTCCAAATAATCATCAAGTAACGGTCACTAAACACCACATTTATCATGAAAATAGTAGCTCCTATGGCAATCTGTAGTAAACCTATGAAAAGGTATACCATCCCTAGCCATAACCCGATTAATTAGTCAGTAACAAGCGCAAACATAATTATAATTGGTTCATTTTATCACATACAAACGATATCATTTAGAACGAAATAATATCGACCCTTTACTTATGTTGGAATTACCCTAGTGTTCGCGTTGCAATACCTTACGAATCCGATAAAGCGGATGTTGTGGGCCTCAGCTTTAATACTGTGTTTGGGAGGTTGATGATATCAGGCCACAATAAATAGACTTTCAATATCCAATTGATATTATTACCGACCGGTTTCATCCCACTGGGTCACCCCAACTACTAATCTAAACTATTTCCTCCATCATAAGCACTAACGGTTTAGAAACTTTTTCGGAAATTTGTTTTTCCAAATTAAATAGAATTTGATTATTCGACATTATCTTACAATAAAAATATATGTTCATTTATAACTTTTTACGCCTGTTCAACATACATAAATAACATAAATTATATAGGGTCTGTTCTGTACACATATATAAATGTTTACTGCTACGGACAAAAATATGTCCGTCGTTCAGTGATGACGGGAGAAAAATAATTTAAAAAAATAAATACATAAAATAAACAAATAAATAAATACCTGTTGGACCTAAAGGAAAAAATAAATAAGTGCTGGGCACCAGTCGTCCTATTGTAACAAATATAACAACGGAAATGACGACAAAAGAACCAAAGATAGATAAGTTAAAAATAAATAAAATAAAACTCCCCATCATAGAAGAAGAGGGGAAAACCAAAACAACAATGAAACTGAAATCCCTGGAGGCCACAAGGAGAGTTAGTTTTGTTTAAACGAATAAAAAATAAATGAATTAAATTTGATTAAATACTGTCGAATTATACAACAAAAATTAACACCTTTATTAAAAATTGCCGAGCCAAATTTTCTTATCCCCTTAACACCTAATTAAATAAAATAAAACTGACAAAATTGTGATTAACCACCAAAAAATAAATAAAAAGGATAAATATGCTTGATTAAGAACCGAGGGACTGTATAAATGCCTAGGCCAAGTAGAACACAAAACTTTTTCTGATAAACATTGCTCCACGTTTTAAGTGTCCATTCGACGATTTGAAAGTCTTCCTTTTATTGCAGCCCGGAATCCCCTTCCTGGTGTCTATCCTAATACATCGCTTCAGGATGGCTTGGGTGACACATGAGGAGGAAAACGCGACGCACCTCCGACGTTTTCTCTCTTTCCTTCTCTCTAGCGTACTGGACCCTTCAAAAGCAGCCATCCAGGGTAAACGATACTTTCCAACGCTGGGGGGGGGAGTTCTTAAGCCTGTTTTTGGGTTTTAAAAAAGGGGGTAACAATACGTGTACCCATAAAATTTGGTGTGGCATGGAAATGAGAGGTAAAATAAACTTAGCGATTTAGTACTTAATTTTGGATTTGGTTCATATAATTTTTAGTTAAATTTAGCGTATGATAAGAAAGGTTTTACAATATCCGCTTTTCATTAAACAAAAAACCATGTGTGATGGTTGAAGGCTGAGCATTTAATGTACACTTGAGGAATTTGGTCGTTGATTAACATTGTTCGAAACAATTCATCCTTTCACAAGCCTCGTTCAACCTTTTCCGAATCAAATTGAACGTTAACCAAACCAACCTTTGTTAGAACTGATTTGAAACTTTTACTAAATCATTTTTCGGATAATTTAACATTTTCTTCTTTAAATTCAGCATTTCTGTTATGTAACCCGTTTTAATTTTAACTTAAAAAAAAAAAAAAATTTTAACTATCCACTTCCTTTCAACTATGATGTATCATCCTCCAACTGCAACAAGATACGGCTTGCAACGTCTCACGTACTTTTAATTATAGCTAAATGTAAATTAGACATCCAACGTAAATAAACATAAAACAGCAATATCTCACTGGCACTCTCAACACGACACGCAAGAATGGCACAATTACACAGAAAACAAACACTTTGAATGAGTACAAATACTTTGATTGAATCTAAAATTTTCTAGCATTGTATAAATTCATTGTTTTATCTAAAAAATTGTCTAGCATTGTATAAATTCATTTTTTTAATACATCCTACATGTATTTGTTAAATTTAAACAATCTTTATAAATTCCAGGCCCTGAAGATGACTTCAATAAAGATCGAAACGTTGGCATGATAAAGAAAATGTTTTTCTATAACCTACGCCACATCAGACCGCTCCTCACGATCTCCATATAATCATTTAATAACAGCGTTTTGTCTAAAAGGAAATCTAAATTACTGAGGAAAAAAAGACGGACAGATAAAATTTGTTTTAAATTTTTATTTAACATTTCAATATCTATCACGTATTTTCTCCTCTTGTCTTAATTGTCTTAATTACACTGACTCCTCGGCATACTTTCTACCAGTCTGGAAATGTATGTTTGCCAATTCTTCAAGAAGAGTCCTTTCAAGATCGCATAGGGTATCAGGAAGTGATGGACGTGCTCTTATTTGTCTCTAGAGGTTATCGATGTGTTTCAAGTCTGGAGAATGGGCTAGCCTGGCTAAGGCCCTGATGTTATGCTGCTGAAGATATTCTGTACTATGCGAGTGACATGTAGACGGGCATTATCGTTAGATTAGGATTGTCGCTGATTTTGTTCCCGCTTACTCTTCGTCAACAAGACAAGAGGATCTTTAACGTCCGCACCTGGCCTATTCGGCCTTATCGGACGTTTTGATTCTCAAGATGAGAGCTGACGTACTTCTGCATACGACGGAAAAGTGTTACCGCCGCAGCATTGGTGTAGTGGTGTCCCGGCCCCTAAGGGTCAGTAGCCACGCTCTCCGCTTGTCCACTCCGAATGGTCGGGCCCGCATTGTGCGTCAGGTCGTACGCCGCACGCGAGGGGCTAACGGGCCGAAATACATCAGCCCCCCCCCTCGCGTACTCCCTAGATAGAGAAGGCAACTCTATCCCTCTGAGTGTAGAGGCTCCCCCAGCGTAGAAACTTTTGGGAACGCCCCGACAGCGGTTTCGGATTAAAAAGTGAGATTACTACCCACCCCCTAGATGAGTACCGCCTANTATTCACCTCGTTGGTTGCCCTTTGGTGAGCGACGGGGACCCTAATATATAGAGCCAACCGCCGCCCCCAGAGCCTAGAGACATTACTCCGCCACTCTGCTCAGGCCACTTTGGAGAAATATGATCGGTACAATACCAATCTTGTCTTTGCGGTTTCCATTTGGAATTTGTTTTTTGGGATTACCATTTGTTTTATTCACTTTGCGGTTTCCATTTGGTTTTACCTTTCGGTTCCCCTTTGGTTTTATACTTTGTTTTATACTTTATACTTTTTATACGAGTATAGACACAGCATGATGTTCCAAAATTTCATGCACATTTCGAGCGACCCTCCACGAACAACAACCAACTTGTGGTACTCTCCATTTAAATTCCCGCCAACACCATCACTGAGCTATGTTGAAAAGATTGGCTCTGGGAAAAATTACAGGCTTCGTACCTTTCATTTCGCCTTCTCCACACTCTTTCATGTCCATCAGGAGATCGCAGAGCAATTCTACAGTCATCTGTAAAAGAGACAAGCAGACCAATTGTCCAAAGGCCAATGCTGTATTCTCGAGCAAATGGTGCCGTGCACCTCTGTGTTTTCTGGTCAATTCAGGTGCTCTTACGGAGGAAAAAGCATCAGTCCATACTAATATAATCTTCTTCGAGCAGTGCGTTTAGAAATTTGGTCACTTCCTGGAGCTAATGAATCATTTGAAAAAGAGTAAAGTGCCGGTTTCGCAAAATTCTCAAATTCTCTCTCTTGTGGTTCATTACCCTAGGGCGTCCACAACCGTACTTCTATGGTAGGACGCATTTTCTCAAAAACCTCTAACCGCGTCTCGCAGTGTTTCTTATGGAACTCCGTTGGAACGTCCATCATCAATAAGTGCCACACCACGCGCACCATCCCCAGCACTAAGTGGCATTTTTAAGTTTAAAAATTGAAATTTAAAAAGAAAAAAGATGAAAACTAAACAGTTTATTGCTTCAGAATTCAAATGAGACTGAATAAACATTGAAAAATCCTCTATCCTTGTATGTATACTGACATAGAAAAATGTTAACCCGATTTCCCACTTGATTCATCCTGAGTGTATCGGAGGGTCCAAGTAGTTATTGAAGAGAAATCCTTTTTGGATGTATATATTGAAATTGGAAGAGAGAAAATAGTCTGTCACATTTTTAAATGGAGGCTTGTGCTTCAATGGTGGTTGTGGGCGAAGTGCGAGAGGGGATGGAGTGCGGCAATAAAAAATACAAGGGTCAGGGTGCGGCAAGGTAACGTCGGCTCTCATGGAAAATTCATTTGAGAACCGCCTCAAGCCGCTCTGTGACTTTCTGTACAACATGTAAACTGATCCCCGGCCCGGAAAAAATTGCCACTGATTTTATTACAGCTGGTGGATTCTCTTCAGGATGAAAGAAAAGCCGCACAGTTTCCAATCCTTGTTTCAAACTCTAATCTGACTAAATGATACATTTTGATCCAGGGAAACTTTCCACCTATCAATTATTCAGATCGGTAAGAGAAACTTTATTTGAAGTTGCCTTCCTGTTTCTACCAGGAATC